TTTAAACAGATGACAGAAGAAACTAGCAGAAGAAACTATGTATATAACACTGGAATCAATAGGGCTAAAATGTTCCCCCGCATTTGGGGTATGTTTTGGAGATTTAAATATTTACTCTTTTTGGAATTATGAAGTTGAGGAATTCACCTAACTCCATGTCCACTAACCAAAGTTGGTGAAAGAAAATACACAATCTTTTGGGGAGTTCCTTTGATTTATTCTTTCTGTGATTTGACTAAACTGTGAGAAGAGTCATTCACTCTACAGAAGCTTGTGCACTTCCAGATTTCCAAAGGATTTGTGCTTGTGTCACATTTCTTTTCTACCCCATTCCATTATATTCAAGTCCTTTGTAACTCTCCTTAAGTGTCCCCAAAAGATAAGTTGCTTACATCATATTGTAAACCTCTCATCCACTGACCACATCCTCTGACTGAAAAGTAATAAGAGCCAATTGCAGCATATAAGAATTACCCCTAGTTCAATATAGTCAAATGAAATGGTGATGAAAACAGCAGAATATGAATATGAGATTGATTAAAATCACAGTCTGCAGGGCTCTTCCGCACCCCAACTGCTTTTATTTCTCCAACCTCAGAAAATTTTCTATGATTACCTTAAAACCTGTTGCCAACCACAAAATGCTTGGAACAACTACGATAGCAACAAACACTCTATCTTCTCTTGCCATCAGTTTAATAGCATCACAAATGCTTCCCCTATCCAACTCCATAGAAAAGGAGAATAAAAATAATCATTTGTATATTACCCCAATAATACCCTTTCTTCATTTTTCAAACATTTATCTAGTTATATACAACCCTCCCCAACCAAACAGCTGTCTTATAGCAATAGACATAGCACTTAGACTTATATACCACTTCACAGTGCTTTACAGCCCTCTCTAAGCAGTTTACAGAGTCAGCATATTTCCTCCAACAATCTGGATCCTCATTTTACCAACCTCAGAAGGATGGAAGGCTGAGTCAGCCATGTGTCGGTGAGAATTGAACTGCCGAAACTGCTGGCAGCCAGCGGTTAGCAGAAATAGCCTGCAGTACTTCATTCTAACCACTGCACTACCATGGCTCCTCATGAGAGGACTTGAAAAGGCTCTAAACCATTTTATTCTTGAAAGACCTGATCTGAGAGGTGTTCTGAGTCAGGGAAATGGGCTATACAGATAGACAGATGATGGTGATAATGGTGGCAGTGGTGGTGATGATAGTTTCAAATACACCATAACTGAGAGAGAAATAATTCAGCTCAGCTCTTGAACACAGTTGATATTAATTAACAGAGGTCTGGAGTTGCCTTTGAACTGGTGTGTTATCCTTAACTTTTGAAATAATAATAAAAAAAACTAGCGCACAACATTTATTCCTAATATGCTAGTTTTCTTGTTCTTTTTTATTCCATTCAATCATACTTGATTTTTGAAGGCTGCCTGAGCAAGTCCGTGCAATTTTCTTTGCAGGGTTTTTCATAAGTGGTTTGCCATGGCCTTCTTCCCAGGGCTGAGAGAAAGACTAGCTCAAGGTCACCCAACTGGCTCTGCTTAATGTGGGATTAGAACTCATACTCCGCTGCTTTTTAGCCTGTTGCCTTAACCACTACACCAAGTTGACTTCCTACTTGCATTCAAATATGGAGAATTGGGGGGTTGGGGGTGGAAATGATGTTCTGAACTTTTATAGTCAAGTTTTTCCCATCACAGATGAGTTCAATTATTTCTATAAGTTGTATATAATGCCATCTGTGTTACATAAGGGTATTCTTTCAAGGCTTTAAACGAATCACCTTTTCTGCTTTCAAAGCAAATAAGGTGCTATATGAACCACAACTTTTAACAAATACATTTTTCTACTTGGAAATAATTATTAGATAAGAGATGGTGAAAATGCATTGTGCAGTTCAGCAGATATGCCTATTTGGCCAGTGTAAGTATGGTCTATTCCCTTACATGGGCATGTGTGCATGTATCTTATGTCTGTTTATTATCTTATTTACCTCAAATTCCTCTACTTCTTTGGAAGAAATTCTACCTTGTATAAAAAAGCCCAAAATTTCTCAAGAATCATCACTGTGTTTGTATTCTAGTTAGCTGAGAGGAAGGAGTTCATAAATTTGTCCTTTAAAACCAGCTGTTTGACATACTAGAGAAAAATTCCATCCTCTACTAGCTCTGGTAAAAGAGAGTAGTCCATTATGTTTGCAACTCAGCTTATAAGCACAGAAAACATGAGAAGCAAATGTTTCCATTTCGCCACCCATTGAATATCAACCATAGCTGAACTTATACAGTTTTCAGGCTTTAGTTTCCACCAACAGTTGTATTAATGGTTATTTCTAATCCAACGAAATCATTAAAATTTTCCTGTAACTTTGAAGGAGTAAACATTCCACACATCCAGCCCCTAACTGTCAACAAAATTCACACAGATTTCATACATATTGATACCGTCTAAAATTTTCAAGACTAACATACTACAGCATAAGGTTTCTCATAATGTCTACTTTGTTAGATACATGTTATCAGAAATCTATTCTTAATTATTATGTCTCTGCATGTAACAGCATGACATACAGTTTTATTTCTCTAGAGTCGCGCATCTGATGAAGTGGACTGCAGTCAATTAAATAAAGCTAACACTACAATACTATTGTTTTTGCTACAGCAGATTAATGAGCTAACCCCTTGGTAATCAGATGTTTTTATCATAATATATAAGAGTGAAATGTTTGATGGCTAGATTAGAAGTGGGGGAAGATCAGTGACTCTGAATATGGTTAAAACTGCAGGGATATATTTGAAAGGGCATATTATTATCTGGTGCTTATGATTGTAAATTTACATAGCATGCTTGTAAGCAGAGAAGCAAATTTGGGTAAATTAGCATTGGCAGCTGACTGGACTACTTGAAAATGGAACTGTATTACAAAAGAGATACTAGTTATATTTCACTCAAAGCTTCCAATGTGATTACTTCAGAAATGAATGATCTGTTACTATTTCCATTGCATGTATTCAGCCATATTACACATCTGGTCAATGTATTTCTAATGTAAAAAAGAAAAAGAATTCTTATGCTGTACTTGAATCATCCTAACATAAAGATGCTTTCTTTCTAACAGGCACTATGTGTATGTGGGAAATTATAATACGTGAGGCATTATAATAAGGTGTCTAATGTGACTGAAAAAAGCAGTAGTTAATTTTGCTATTCTATTGATATTAGAGATGTGGGGTGTTGTCCCCCATTAAACTCCATATTTGGTTAAGAAGAAGCTGCAGTGCAATTAATGAGTTAGGTAGCAAACCAAGCTTCTAAGGATCAGGGATCTGTTCTCGTGTTTTTATATCATGGCTATTTTCTTAGTTGATTTGTTTCTTCTGTAAAGTCCACTGGTATTCAAAAGAGACTTCACACGGCACTGGTTGGACACATAATTCCGTAGAGGCATTCATTCTTCTCCCCAAAGTTCCTCTAGCAACAGAGTTGTAGTACAGCCAATGCCCACATCAACTGGAACTGAAGGCAGCCATAATTCAACACATCTAGTGATGCCAGGTTAGGAAAAGCTTTTCAATGGTAGCCGTATATGTGGCCTCAAAGAATCCCTTCAAACACTCTTTTAACCCAATGCGGTCTCCGGGAATGCTTGCTGCTTTTTTGGCATCAGGAGACAATTTCAAAAACTCAAGATGAAAATGTTCCTATTCACCAGTTGCACATTGGGAAGAGGGAAGTGTGTTTCCAATAGTGACCATTTCTACTTCATGAACAGCAAACTATGGAGATCATAGAAAAACTGTGCTTCCAGCATCCTTAACCTAGCCATGTCACAGTATGGTGCAGAGGCATTGAATAATATGCCCTCCAACACAGAAAATCAAAACTAATGTGCTTAGGCTGCCCAAACAGGAAAGCCAAAAATAAACGAACTGAATATTTGCCTGGTTACTGGGCATGGTGGGCACAGTGCTGAGAACTTGGATATCAGGATCTGCCAAAGGAAGCAAGGACTCAGGAAGAAGAGAGGCATCTCCCCTTCTGGCCCTCAAGATGAAATTTATACAGAGCCTGTTGCTTAAGGAAATCTCGGAGTAGCTGGGACGGGAAAAGTGGAAACTTCAGCCAGCTCCACGGTCCTGTCTTCCACCTTTTCCCTTGTCTCTCGCTAACAGAGAAGAAGCCAGGTTTTCCCATCTTCAACCAAACTTGTGAAGCAGTGGAGACACACGGCAACAGGTCAGGGGTGGCGAAGATCATTAGGGGCATAAAGAGGGGTGTTAGGATCCATGGAAAACGGGGCGGCGAGAGCGAATGTCTGGAGACTTTGGGCACAGCGGAGGGTACTGCCTGGGAGTCGGGGAAAGGGAGGAGAGGGTTGTTACCGGAGGAGGCGCCAGCGCTGCTCCCCAAGGCCACAGCCCTCTTGGCAAGCCCACCCCACTCTTCCATCCTTGGGTTGGGAGGGTCCCCGCCTTTACTTCGTTCATCCTTGCACGCAGCTTCTCCACTTTCCAGCCAGTGCTCTTTTCCTCTGATCTTTTTCTTCACCTAAAAGAAAAGGGATAGAAGATAGTCCCGTCAAAATTGGCTTCAAGAAGGCGCAGGACAGGTGGCACCTGCGATACCCACGCCCACTCTGCTCTTCTTTGTGGCCAAGGGTGGTGTCGTCGGAGCAGTATTGCTCCCTTACAAAGGTTACACGCCTGCTCTTGAAAGCTGCTTCCCCCACCCCACCCCACCCCACGAGTGCACGGATACACACATACACACACACACGCACACACACAAACCAGCTTCACCGCCCGTCACAGTTTGGCTCCGTATTGATCGGCGCTGCCTGGCCGCGCTTCCCCTGCAATTCCAGGTAGTAAATCAGTGCCAGGCGACTCCACCTCCCGGCGTTGCCATTGGGTGCCTGCTGTGCTCGGGTCGCCGTGATTGGTCGCCTCGCGGGCACAAGCCTTTACATAAGAAGGCGCTCGCTCTGCTGACTCGATAGAGCCGGAGAGATACACATTCACGCACGCCGAGACCGAAAGAGCGGCGGCCAGAGAGCGGACACTAACACGACAAGCACCCGCACGTGAACAGGGCAGTCCGCCCGCCTGCCCGCTCCGGATGCTTCGCGGCCAGCTGGTAGGCATGGAGCTGCCCCGGCAACCCACTTGCCCGGTGAGTACAACTGTTTCCTGCCCTGCTGAGCCCAAGCCGACCGGGGCAAAGTTTTCCAAATTCCCAAAGAGATGGAGACTTTGGGTGGGAAGAAAAGTTGCAGTTGGCGAACGATGCGGGGCGGGAGGAGGCTATGGAAGCGTAGTCGAGGGCCACGTGAGACTGGCGGCCGGAATTTGGGGTTGAGGGGTGGGCTTCTGGGAGAGAGCGGTGGGGAGGGGCCGTGTGAAAAAGCCCGGGCTTCGGAAACCAGGGAGTAAGAAGTGGAATTGAAGGTTTGAGAGAAGCGATGGGGACGGGGAAGCACTTTTGTGCGCTGGGGATGTGCTGAAGAGCCGCTTGGAGACAGCTATCGGCTGTCCAATGGCACGCTGGATCTTCCTGAGCAGGGAGCCGTTTCTTGGAGTGCTCGCCTCCGGCAGCGAGCAAAAACTGAGTGCCAAGGTGACTGCTGCTCTCCAGATTGCACTAATGCTGCTGGTGGCGGCAGCTGCTAGTAGTGGCAATGCCAGTGTTGAGGTTGGCTTGATACCCTGCAGTTTGACATGGCCGAGGAAAGGCATGGTTCCAACTCTGAAGTGTAACTCTATGGGCCCGGGACTTCTGGCTGCTTCCTGAAGATCTGATAGGTTTGGTTCCAAATTCTTTGATTTTGTGGGGGAAAAGAATATCCCTTGCCTGCAGTATTAATGCAGGATCTGGGCTGGGAATAGCAAACTCTGGAAAGACAGCAATGCAGACAAAGCCAGTAGCTTTTTCTTGTTAGTGGCTTCAGAAAGGAAAAAAAAAACAAAATTTGGAACCAGAAACAATACTTGCTCATTACTGAAGCTCAAACCTGAATTTTATGATGTCAATTCTTTTGATTGGTTGAACCCATTTGCCCTCCTGCACTTTGAACAAGAACCTGGTGGGTTGGCATCTTGTGACATTTCTTAACTAGGTTGATATCAGCACACGTCATTGGCTGAACAGACATGATGTCACAGAGAAGTATACAGGAATCCATTTGGACAACAACTCTGTGAACGAGTGATGTCACTAGTCTACAATGAGACAGAAAACCCTGTGTCACTGTGAGGCTTTTGGAAAAGCATCTATATTATATTGGTGATGTGGTTCTATAGGAGTTTAACTATCATTTAGGAAAATTGCAGAAAGTATGGAGTAGAAACTGCTTGCTAATGCGGAACAGCGGTCCACTTAAAAGTTTGGTTCTGCTATGGCCACTCATTTGAAAGTACAGGATTTGCCAGGAGAATGTATCAACTGAGAAAATCGCATGCAATTTCTTCTCTCTTCCTCTGAACAATGGCAAGAAATCAAAGCATGCATTTATTAGGGGATTATTGCATAGTGTTAAAATGTTATGCAAATCCCAATTTCTTTCCGACAGAAGAAATCTGTTGTCACCAACCCTACTGGTTTCTGCATATATGGGTACAAATAGCAGTATCATCAGCCACACCCTAAGAGATCATGTAAGTCATGGAAATATGCAGCTGCAGACATACCCTCTTGAAGCGCCTTCTCTCTAGTTTGACAATACACATCCCTGTTCCAAACACTATTCTTTTAGAAGCTTTTCATCCAGTCAGCATTTGGAATCACATGACTAGAAAACTAGAAGACAACCACAAAAAGCGGGATTATTGTCACAGTCTTGTGTTTTGGGGCAAATTTGCTGCAGCAGGGGTTCAGAATGCGCATTTTGTCCATACAGCATTCTCTGTGTTAAGAGCAGACCCCTGGTATAATAAAAGATCATAAGGTATAGGGCATGAAGTCATGCAGATGATTTCCATCAATGTCCACAGCAAGAACAAAATGGCGTCCACTATTTTTTTTTTCCAGCTGCCAAGGACATCGAAAACCATATCCGTCCCTTTTAATCCTAACAGACACCTAAGACTGTTTCTGATCTTGGTTTGGTTCAAGAAGTAAGTGGATTCAATCTTGAATCCTCTTAACCTATCCGTATCTTCCACTTTCAGAGCCGACTTGAAGAGGCAAAGGGAAGCGATCAAAAACAACGTAGGAGGTAGCACATGAATGCCTCGCTTCAGTCCATTGCTTTTCTATACAATCCTGTTTGAACATGGGGATGGAGAGATTCTCCTTGCTTTTCCTTTATCGTGGCATGCTGCTCTCTTGATACTTTCCATGGGCATCCAATAGTGACTTTTGCAGGCATATTGGCAGGGATTGCTGAATTGCCACCCCCAACCCACGAAGTAAAATCTCAAAACCCGGGAACAAAACAGGGATAGGCAACCTTTGGAGTCCAGTAGACACATTGGGAATTTTGAGTCATGTCATGAACAATATCACAAAATGGCTGCCATAGTGACAAAACTGTCAATTTTTAAAAAGACAAATGTGAATTTGATCCCCACTACTCCCTTTGGCCTCAGCTTCCAATCCAAAATACTCTGTTCCACGCCCAGCTTTACTTTTGTTTTGAGATTATTTTGGAGGTCCAGGAAGTCCTTTTCTAAACAAAGCCCTGAGCTGCTACCACTTACCATTTTTGTTATCTAAGTCCGAAAATCGTAGGTGACTTAGACGTGCTCATAGGAATGATGCTGGAGGCTGTTATCTTGCTTTGCTATATGCCAACTTCTTGGTTCAATTTTTCACTTGAAAAAGAAAGAGTAATATCCACTGAGTTAGGGGACTCAGTAGCACCGAAGGAAGCCTTCACCAGTTTGTTGGTGTACAGGTAGTCCTCAACTTACAACAGTTCATTTAGTGACCGTTCGAAGTTACAATGTCATTGAAAAAAGTGTCTTATGACCATTTTTCACAAACATTGCAGCATCCCCATGCTCATATGATCAAAATTCAGATGCTTGACAACTGACTCATACTTATGACAGTTGCAGTATCTCAGGATCATGTGATCCCCTTTAATGACCTTCTGACAAGCAAAATCAATGGGGAAGTCAGATTCACTTAACAGTCATGTTACCAACTTAACAACTGCAGGGATTCACTTAACAACTGTGGCAAAAAGGTCGTAAAATGTCTCAGCAACAGAAATATTGGGTTCAACGGAGGTCGTAAGTCGAGGACCTGTACTTGGATGTCATTTTGTTCACCCGGGACTAGAAACTTCACCAGCTGATTTGGGACTACTGGTAGATCACGTATGGATTTAGATAGAGATAATAACAATTACACTATTTTTCCCCTATCTGACACTCTTCTGATATATTTGGGTCCAAATTCCAGTCATCCCAATCTAGTGAGATGTGCTGGCTAAGGTTAATGAGAATTATGTTCCAATATTTGGGAGGAGCTAAGCTATGCAAATGCCACAAAATTGAATAGATTTGTATTAGAATCTCTAGGAAAGTTGTGTATAAATTATAATGCAGGTCCAATGCAAAAATGAAATTTGGGGCTGCGGGTATGATTAATATTTAATCTGTATGTCTTTTCCTGTGAAATACTTTATAGTGGCTATAACATATGATGAAATATAGGATCATGGTTCCTAATCAGTTTTCCTCAATAACTATTGGAAACTGTTCAAAATAAGCCTAAATGGAACTATTTTCCATAAAAGGATTTTGTAATGTGTTCAGCAACTTTATCTGACAGCGCTAGGAGCATAAAAACCAGGTCTTCCAAGGTCCAAGGGGAAAGCTGAAATCCCAGAAGAGGAAGAGCAGGGGTTACAAGGATCAAGTACATTTTCTTCACTGCCTGCGCACAGGTGCAAGCTCTGAGTGCATGTTTGTGCGTGTTTAGGAAGGCAACTTAATTAATGGCCATTTCCCTAATGATCTATCTGGAAATGCACACTGATGTATGAGTTTAATTAGCTCAAGCCAAATGCTGGGAGCGCAACAGAAGAACACGTTGTCTTTGTCACCAGGCGCCTGTTACTATCCTATGTTTATGGAAACTTATTTAATGAAGAGTTAATCTGTGCCTAAACTGGAGGATAATACCAGCTACTGGCCTTGTATGATGGATTGTTTTGCTGTGGAAGAACACAAGAAAGATGCATGTGCTCTTGTACTTACTACCTGGTCATTTGATCTATAGATACCTATGAATGGCTCCTTCATTGTTTCTAAACCGAATAGGTAGAGTTTTTCCTGAAGAGGACCAAACCTGATAGCTCCTGATATTATCACATTATAACTATTCATAGTAATCATTATTAATTGCAATTATATGCACCCGGGGCCTCCTCTCTTATATAACGGGAATAACCAAGTTTACTGAGACTTTTCAGTTTTTGTTTTTGGTAGGTTTCTTATATTTCAGGCCACATCATGAATTCTGCAGCCCTAAATTCTACTGCAAAGCATAATGAAATAGATAAATTTCATCAACTGCCTCTTCAGAGAATAATTTTGAGCATATGGTGATTTCAATGAAGTCATGGAAAGTCTTAGAGGCTTGCTGATCTTCAAGCAGGAGGTGAAAAGGCTTAGGACATGCCTAGTTATAGTACCATCTGCCTATCAGTGTAGGTAGAGTGGATATTCACAATTGTTCAAGACCACCTCTGGGTTTGGATACAGCAGGAAGATTTGCAAGAGCTTACCTTGAGATCTGTTTTGTAGAAGTGTTAATACCACAGGGTACTTCTAAGAGGGGTTAGGACAGTCCCAAAAGGCCAATAATAGAGCTAATGAGTTATTATCTGTAGAAATGTTCACAAGACAGATTACCTATTCCATAATGCATTTTGACAGCCTTCTTATTCACACAATCAGGATGGATAAAACATGATGAAACGATGGGCTTCTCCCCCTTCACACTTTCATTCCAAGGGACTTTAAAGGGACTATTGATTCTAACCTACAATACTGATTATAAGAATACTCCAAACTGACAGCCCTGGCTGGGAGAGGAAAGATAGTTATTAACATAAAATATAAGACTTTTCATATGTGGATACTGACAGAATGAAGAAGTGCCTTTTTTCTTGCTAAGCTTTAACTACTCTTGTTGTGTTTACAAATGAGGGGAAGAGATGTTCATCTATTTTAAGGATTAACGAATCTCATTGCAAAATTGCCTTCACAGAAAGTAAAAGAGGCTATCCTATCTCAGAGTCTATCTTGAACTGAAAGGTGATTTCTGGCAAAAAGATGCTTTATTTGCTGCCATCTTCTTTTTTTGCATGGACTACTCCATAGGAGAGATCAACAGACATTCTGTGGAAGTGCTTTAATTTGGAGAAGATCCTGCCTCAAGAAGCAGACTGGATGGCTCTCAGGATTGTCTGATCTTCATCAGAGTTACTGGAAAGTTATGAAGCAGAGTGTGATCAACTTAAAACAGAAATGTGATGTTATTAAAATACTTGCTCACATCACTGCATTTGGGTTTAAATCTACACTGTTGCCTGGTGCTTTTTTATAGATTCTTTCTCTGCCATCTTCTAGCTCAGGGTAGCCACAAAATCAAATCCTACCCTTTGGGACATTCTTCTTGAAGGAATGAATTAAGGTCCTTTCTCTTCCTTTTAATTCTGATGAATGAATGCGAGATCTAATGGTCTAACCTAGTATATATTTTTTCTCTTCAGCAGGGATGTGGAATTCTGAAGCTAATATGGTTTCACATCCCAGAGTGAATTCTGAGACAGCTGAATTGACTTTCAGTCCTGAAACTAGATGTTTGGTACGAACTATTGTGTCAGCACATCCTGCTCTTCACAACAGCTGAAATTTTCCATAGATCTAGCATGCCAATGCTTCCCCCCTAAAGTTCAGAAGATTAAGAAACAGAAGTTTCCTGCCCACAATAAAGTAAAAAAAAACATCTCTATTGGTACTTGAGCATTAGGCAATTGCTGACCAATCCGGAACCAAACCAAAGTCTCTAAAACTGCTTGCCCAATTCTGCAAGGGGCAGTGGCAATGCTACCCCTAAGAATTTATCAGGATGGTTATATCGGATCCCTACCAATGCTTATCTGCATGGTTAAGTAGCAATGAAATGAGCAAAGCGAGCTAGATTTTGAGCCATGCTGGCACAGTGGTTAGAATGTTGTACAGCAGGCAAATTCTGCCCACAGCCTGGAGTTTGATCCTGACCGGCTCAATATTGATTCAGCCTTCCATCCTTCTGAGGTTGGTAACATGAGAACCCAGATTGTTGGGAGCAGTATGCCAACATTTGTAAACAAATCAGAGAGTGCTGTAAAGCAGTATGGAGCAGTATATAAGTCTAAGTGCTATTGCTATTTTCCATAGTTTTATAACTATCTGTTACAGAATTCCTGCATTAAGAAAAAAAATTCCCAGCTACTAAGTGAATGGGTGATGTAGCCACATGCTTCTCTTTATAGGTGCCAAGGTTGCTGCTACTGCTGTTGTGGAGCCTGGTTCTGCCTTGGCCTGGTGAAGGATCCCAGCGCAGTAAACCCATGTTCACAGCAATCACGGATCAAATCCTTCCTCCTGACTATGACAGCAACCCGACTCAGCTCAACTATGGTGTGGCTGTGACCGATGTAGACCAGGATGGAGACTTTGAGATTGTCGTTGCTGGGTGGGTACCAAGAAAAATGCTAAGTATTGCTAGGTGCATGGGAAGTTGTGGGGGGGGAGGGAGGGGCTGCCACTCCACAAGGAGTCATATTTGAGGAAAAGAATAGTCTAGAGCAGTGGTTCTCAACCTGTGGGTCGGGACCCCTTTGGGGTGGAACAACCTTTTCACAGGTGTCACCTAAGACCATCAGAAAACACATTTTTTCAATGGTTTTAGGAATAATTTTATGGTTGGGGGTCACCACAACATGAGGAACTGTATTAAAGGGTCGTGGCATTAGGAAGGTTGAGACTCACTGGTCTAGAGTTAACAGGATGCAAGGAAGATGGTTACATCCCAAAGGCTGGTCTCATACAGAAGATAAAAAACACAATGTACATTATTATTATTATTATTATTATTATTATTATTATTATTATTAATCGCACAGTCAGCCAGATGTTCAGACTGGGTTTGGTATTTTTGTCTACCTATCGAGTCCTTACTAAGGACCTAGGATAGGCAAATCTGGATGTTTGATGGTTACAGATATCGTTGCAGGATGGAAGCAGTTGCAAGTAAAGCCGCCTTCTGCAATTGACTGATGACAAATTTGTCAATGCCTATGGTGTTCAAGTGGTGCTCCAGTTGTTTTGGGACTGCACCCAAGGTGCCTATTACTATTGGTACTACACTTGCTTGCCTGTGCCATAGTCCTCACAATCTCAAGCACCTCTGGGCAGGTTTGGCTAACTGCCATACAGTATATGAATTAGTATGTGTATTGCCATACAGTAAGAATCAAATATATAGATTTGTTTGTAAGCCATGACCCAACTATTATTTATTTTCATCATGGTATATTGAACAAGCTATAATGGTCCAATTCACATATAAGAAAAGCCTTAAATCACCTTATAATCACGATGGCTGGATGCATATATTGTATTAATTCAAAACTAAACAAATCACATTAAAGTTTAATACAGTGTATGAATTCAGACCCTGTTTCTCAGAAGAACTTGGCCACTGCTATGTTTGTGGGGTTTTATAAATGTTCTGGACTAAAACTAACATTCCCAGTTAGTGGGATCTGGTTTTGCTGGTTGAGGCCTATGAAAAATGTCTTTGAAAATCCCTGAAGGGCATTAAATTGGTGAAGGCTGTAAAAAGAAGGAAAAGTATACATGTTTATACTCTGCTTTGCAATGATTCAATTCCAGATGTGTGTGTGGAACTACTGTGTATGTCTATGTGGAACTACTGTACAGTTGCATCCTCAAAGCTTACAGCTCAACTGTCTCCCACATGATCACTTCCCTGATTAACTGCCTCTGCCAGTAGCCTTCTCAGCTCCCACCCCAGCTTCCCCAACCTGTCCAGGCTGCAATCATGACCTAGGAAGTAGGGGCCAGAGAGGACTATCTCTTTATAGCTGGCCACTGCTTGTATAACTTGGACTAACATAAAACATATCTCAGTTGCACTGAGCTGGAAAGAACATATATCCATTGAAAAGCTCTTCTGTCTAGGATTTCCTAGAAAACAGAGAAATTGTTTCTGTAACCACATTCATTTCACTGAGCCTTCTCAATCTCTTCTTGGCCTTGATTTTTCCTAGCTCTTGCTAAATTGTTTTCCATCTATTCATACCATCCCTATAGCAGGAAGAGAGGATAGCAAGTCTGCTTTAAACACATGGACTACTAGGGCCATAGTTTTAGAGGCCCACATTTTTCTCTTTCATCCCCACTGGGCTGCCAGGGACCTCAGTTGCCCTGAAGTTGCATTCAGTCTCAGTGCTCTCCCAGGATCTTTCACTAACAGATTCACATCTTCATGGCTAGCAATTTTTCATTTGGATTCATCTGCATGTAGCCTCTTCAAAGGTTGCTCATATCAGTAAAACATAAAACTGCTCCACAAGCTGTAGTCCCTGTGCTGTTACACAGGCTCTATGGAATAGTGACTATGGAAGAGCAGTCTTCAGCTTTACTGAATGATCACAGAGAAGAAGCCACCCAGACTGGATGGGGAAGCTGTTCTAGACCAGGGCAAAGCATGCAAAAAAGCCTGCCTTCAAACATCCATTTTTTTCATGTCCTGGGGGGGACATGCAGCATATAATTTAACAATTGCTGTGATTCACTTAACAACTGTGGCAAGAAAGATAATGAAATGGGGCAAAATCCACTTAACAAATCTTTCACTTACCGGCAGAAATTTTTGGCTCAATTGAGGTTGTAATTCGAGGACTACCTGTAATTGGAACCTAGTTCTAGCCTCTAACCATCAGGTCAAAGCTGTTACTATATCTCCTTCTTGGCTGAAGTGGAGCCATTCAGTCATAGGCGTACTGATAACATCCCACCCTAAACTAAAGAATGGCCTCTCTTGATAGTTTCATATATGTGTTAAAAGGAATGCAAGATAAGACTTGACCTCTTCTCCCCCATCAACACTGATTTCTCCAATTTGATTCTCCACTGATTCCCCCTCTCTCTGTATGTGTATGTGTGTGTGTGTGTGTATATATACACATACATATACATATACATATACATATACATATACATATACATATACATATACATGTTTTTCTCTCGAAGCACCTGGTCTACCCCAATATGGGAGGGAGCATACTGCTTCCCTTTAGCCTTTATTTCTTTATCAGCAAATATAAATTTTATACACGCACACATACTTTCAGGTTGGGGAACTTTTTCCCTTCAATTCTTCATGCTGACCTTCCCCAATCTGATGCCCTCCAGTTGTGTTGTAATGATAGCTTCTAGAATTTTCCTGCCTGGAAATTCTGGGAATTGTAATCCCAATGTAACTGGAAAACTTGTTTGGGAAATGCTGCTTTATACAAAGGCTGTGATCTTTGGAGCCCAGATTATCTTATTAAGTCTAGAAAACTGTTGAGAGACAGGTCTTTCTCATAGGTGAGGAAAAGTTTAGGCAAGTCAAGACAAGTGGAAGAGTGCCCTGGTTTGACCTGAAGGAAAACAAACTTTCTCTCACTCTGAGGAGAGGCAACCTTCTCTCTCGCTCTTCTGACAGCCTCAATGTGCACCTTGACATTGTGTTAATTGGCTGCAGCAGAGTGAGAGAGTGCTTCATCGCATTATTGACAGTGTGCTTGCCTTGAGTTGGTGCACAGGAGTGAACAGGCATTCAGCTGTGTGCTCCTTGCATCCCTAATCTGACAGTCCCTTGAAGAGGAAGGATAGAAGGAAATGGAAACCAGCCTGGCCAGCTGCTCAAAGAGGAACAGCATGTTTTGCCTTTAGGGTGATCATGTTGGACATACCTTGACAAATATGCATATGGAGAAGTTGAAGTTTCCCATGAATGAACAATCAGGAATGTGTTCATACTTGCCAGGGCTACTTTAATGTATCATTAAGAAGAGGCAAGTTATCACACAGGAAACAATACCTTATTTATTTATCACATTTTTAAACCTCACATCTCCCTCACAAAGGAACTCTATGTTAGAACGGTATGAGTCCAGCTCTTAAAAGATCCTCATAATCTCTATCTAGGAATTCTATAATCCTGTCAAGAACAAATAAGTATCAGATAATGAACTGACTATTCTGACTAGGCTGTTGTCACAGGTAGACTTCAGCTCACTGGTTTCCCCAACCTGCTGCCCCTCCACTTGTTGGGCTGTAGTGCCTCACCCCTAACTCTTATCTAATAATAATAATAATAATAATAATTTTATTTCTATACCGCCCTTCTCCCGAAGGACTCAGGGCAGTGTACAGCCTATTTAAAAACACAAAAAACACGACAACAATTTAAAATTTAAAATCATTAAATAATTAGGCTCCAATTAAAATCCCAGAAATTTAAAATACCCCAATTTAAAACGTTATGTTAGTAACCCTGCCTGGCGGAACAACAGGGTCTTCAGAGCGCAGCGAAACACCCGGAGGTCGGAAATCTTTCGTATTTCGGGGGGCAGTTCATTCCACAGGGCTGGAGCTCTGTATCTAGTAGTTAGGAATGATAAGGGCTCCAAATTTGGAGAAATCAATTCTAATTCTCAAATACTACAAAAAGAAATTGATGGTCCCTTCTGAATGATTGTAAGTGATGCATTAACACGAGACTAAATACTGGGCTGCACATCTCATATTTAATAATATTACAATTACTTAAAATAATGATGATGGATAATCCTTGTAAATGATATAAAATTCTAAGTATGGGAATCAGCACTTCTCCCAATTTTACTGACTACAAAGTCACATTTCCTTAGATTTGTAGGCTTCATTACAGGATATCTACCCTACAGCTTTCCTTAATTTAGCTCCCTCTAGATATTTCAAATAACAAATCCATAAGACCCATTCAACATATGATTGGAGAATATAGGGAAGTTAGTTCAAAACATCTTGAGAGTGCTCAAATGGGAAAGGTTGTAGCTTTTCCCCAAAATTGCTAGCCAGAATGCTAATTCAACCAATTTCACTGGGAATGCTGGAAGTGATCATTCACTTGAAGGGGGGGGGAGGACTTTTTACAATAAGATATTCCTCTGGGTAAGAATTATATTCAACCTGTTCCTGATTAATCCCTGATTGCTTCAATTTCTTAGAAGGCAACTTTACCCGGCAAACTTAACTCATTAATCTATGTGTTCACCTGAATCCATCCATCCTTTTTATTCCCGTCATTCCTCTGACCTTCCTTCATGGATGTGCATTCCAGACGCGACATCTCCATCACTCTGTCCTAAACTGTCACCACGTTGTTAGTATTCTTACTAAAGTAGAAACATTGTGCTAGTTCTTTAGTTATGGCCTTAACAGAGGCAAGCAGAGCAATTGGACCCTCCTTCTGAGATATGATTTATTTGTAGCCTGAAAAGGACTTACTTCTGCTTTTGCTATACTTCTTCACATTTGTTCTGAGATGCACTGTAATTGTCTGTCCGTCCATTCCCACCCCGCACCCCCAAACATGCATCTTTAGGGCACAATAGTGACTTGTTTGGTATTTAAACTTAAAGCCCTTTGACAGAATTGGAATGGAATACAATGAACACAAAAGAAAATGTTATCATAATATATTTAAAAGGCAATACATTAAAAAACAATAACAGTAATAAAGAAGTCACCTAAATTCCTGTGAGGGCAAAAAAAATGTAATCCGGCAGTGAAAAGATACAATAATATCACTTTTGTGGAAGGGACATTTGATCATAGCAGAGGAGATCTTAGTACTGAATAGTACCTTGGCAGGCTGGCACACAGTAGGCCCTACAAGCAGTAGCAGCATATTCCCTTGACAGGGCACTCAAAACCCATGCCTTGGATTTCACAGTTTAAGAGTGAGAAATATATTAGAACTGCTGCCACCAGAAGACGGTCTATGCAAAGTTTGCAAGTATCATTTGCAGATCTAATATACCCGGTATTTCTAATTTCCTTTTGATATTGCTCTTAATAAAGGATAACAAAGCATCTCATTCAGCCATGGGCTGAGCTGCCCATATTTAGACAACTTTGCATCGCAGAGTGCAACCTTTTGCAGGAAGATTCCCACCCTAAGATTGCCAGTGCTATGCTTTCTAATATAGTGCATTTCAAATCTTGCAATGATTAAATAAATTAAAGAATATGATTCTGAAAGAGATACTGGAACAACATGTTAAAATAAAAGCCAGACATGTGGCTTTTATTACATGTAAGTTTCTTTCCCTCTGATCTTTCTAGAAGAAGAATATGGGAGATCTTGAAGTTAGTCAAGTAGTTGAAAGATTCCAAGAGGCAGATTATTAAATCAGCCATAATGTAAACTACAGTTTTTTCTGAATCTATTTTTATTAAAAGCTGAAGAATCTGAAAATATATATATTGCACCACATGTGAACAAGACACACATCTTAAAATAGAGGATTACCATGTTTTCTGAAGGCAGTTTTTCCTACTTCAGATTACAAAGTCCTCACTTCAAAATACACTTGGAATAGTAGCCAAAATGTGTACTAGGCATTTCATAGACCCACTGACACATAAAATTCAGCCTCTGATGCAGGCTTGGCCCTTTGCATTAATTGGTTTCTTGAAAGGCTCCCCTCTTGATCTCCTTTGAGGACAAGATATTTTCCCTTGGGTTTTCAAATATTGCCCTCAAGGTTTTATCAAATTCTATATTTATTACTAGCTACTAGGGCTCCCTCCCTGCCCTCCTCCTCTGTTGTATTTTCTCTCTATGCTGTACATTTTCAGCCTTAGCAAACTCTATGCTAACCACATTAGAGTCACACATCATTAGCTGCCAGATGAAACCACTCAGGCGTTTCTGCAACTTTGCATTGTGTGATGTTAACATGGATGGATGTCTCAAAGAATTCAGAACTCTCCCTTAATCAAACAAGCAGAATTCTACACAACTAGAGGAAGGGTATACTTTGGCCAAATCCATTAATAAGACAGATAAGTACTCTATAAAAGCAGTATTCTTGATCTGATACTGTAGTAATTTAGGTTTTTGTCAGTGCTGTATCAGAGATCTTCCCAGTGTCTCTTCCTGACAAGGGCTTTAGGTCAAACCCATGTAATATGCCTTTTAACAATACAGTCCCAGATAAGTCCTGATTCCTGAATAGGAGGGGAAACTTCTATTTGCATCTTGCATACATTAGATGTCTGAAATAAGATAAGAAAGAAATTTCTTTTGGGCCTTTACCATTTGGTTTCCATTTTCCTGAGGAGCCCCAGTGGTGCCTGCCTTAATCCCCAAATCCTTCAGCATGTCAGAAAAGATTTAGAAAAAGAACTCTTGTCTATAAATATAGGAAACACAAAATCCAGCCCTTCTTCTTTAACCTATTTTTCCAAATGAATCTCACTGATCTGAAGAAGGAAGAAGGGAACAGTATAAGCTACGTGGTAAATCAAAATGATTTAAACATGCTTAACTGTAAGTGGCATAACATTTTTATGTGCATTTATCTTACATTGGATGAAAAAATAGACTTTCCTAATATTTTTTAAAAATATAATCCTAAACTCCATAAGCATCAGTCCTCCTGAACTTTGTCCTTTGTCCTATGAAGGGTTTTAATCAACTCTGGTGAATTATGTGTCTCGAAATCTTACCAGATTAATGTATTAAATCTGTACTTCAAAGCATTTTCATAAATGTGTGATGTGTTCAGCAGACATGAGAAAACAATGGCTCTATTCCTTTTTCTCTGTTGACTTTTTCTCACAAAATAGGACAGTTTTTTGGAAAGGTAGCTGTGGCAGTTGCTGAGAGCCGTGTGACTCATTAAAATCTAACAAATCCATTATGGCAGAAAAGAGGCAGGGAGGTGATTAATCCAGTGTGCTAGAACTCAGGCTGAGTTACTGGCTTCTTAATAAGGCGGAGCGGTGCAAACGATGAAAAAATATGGAAAGCATATTGGTTCCCACCACTGTTCTCTTCATTAAAGTCCATTCCTTTCCCTTCTCCAAGAAGATATTGGGAATGCTTGGTTGCCTAATTGAGGAAGTACATTAGCAGCAATAGAAAACTTCACTTTGATAGGAAAAAAAAAAGAGAAAAACTATTGAGAAGGCCTAATATCTGAAACCATTCTTGCTCACTCTTGCTTCATTTCTTACTCTCTGTTCCTTTAGGTACAATGGACCCAACCTGGTGCTGAAGTACGACAAGGCACGGGGCCAGCTGTTAAATCTTGCAGTGGATGAACACAGCTCCCCCTACTATGCACTGAGGGATCGCCAGGGCAATGCAATTGGTGTGACAGCCTGTGACATTGATGGAGATGGATGGGAGGAAATTTACTTCCTAAACACCAATAATGCCTTTTCTGGTGTGTGTCAAAGTCACCCATCCCTGGCATTTAACTTACCACTGATAACCAAATTAACGCATCAAACCTTTTGAATGGTCTTTGCATTTCCCTTCATCTTCTGATATCCATCCAACTATGATATACAACATACTATATGCCTGGAAATCATCCCATTGTAGCAGCTTAACCAGTGCTGACTAGTTCCAGGATCCATTTAACCTGCCCAAGAGAGGTGACAGAAATTAGAAGTGATTCTCAGAGGGGACACATAGTGATGTGGCTGGATGAAGACCAGGAGTCTGTTCAGCCATCTTTCTTTCTTATTTGTGGTGTCCTGAAGGCTGCCCTCTGCATAGTTTACTCTGGGACCTCCTCTGCTAGCCTTGTACCAATGGCGTTCATTTCCTGACCTTCACTGGCCACCAGGGTGGGATGTTTCAAGCCTGGAGTTAATTTCCCAGCTGAGTGATTTTGTCGATTCTCTGGCAGCAGTGGGGCTGGCAGAAGGGTGGGTGGGAGGAGGTGTAGAGAGACTTAGCTGCTGACTCAGGGTTTTGCCAGATCTCTAGTTGCCAGAAGTGACTGCAGCTCTTGAGGGCTTAAAATTGCAGGGGATGAAGGAGCGCCTCTGGGACAATGTTCCTTGAGGTGAATAGGACAGAGGGAAAATGGCAAACCTCTGAAGCATCTAGGCCTCTGTGGCTCCACTGTTGTTATTGTTTTCCTTTGGGAGGACGAGTATCTAACTGCTAGGCTGGCACTAGACTCCTTTACGATACGGTCTTGCCAAAGTCACATATGTAGCACTAGTCCACGTCTGTACCCTGCCAGCGTAATCTTTATGGCCTAGCCCTTGCTTAATAGAAATTGCAGTTAGAATAACAGGCCACTTTTCTTTTCTGAGCTTCAGATGGGCTTGTGGGATTTTCTGGGAAATGCTGCTTGACCATTGGCTTTTCTGTTAAGATTCCATGCTGGATTTTGGCTGCTTCTAGATTCTTTCTGAATAGCTTGTGGCAACCCTGGAACGACGATTGCTTTCCTCCCACTTGCTCAAAGTCCCTCTTTAGATCTCTGTGGCCCTTTCCCTAGAAAAAACACCATCAAGCCCCTGCTCCTTCCAGAGTTGGGCTGGGCCCATTACCTGCCTCATCGATCTACTCTTGGTTCTGCTTATCTGTCTTCCTGACACACCTAATTATAGCTTTGCAGCTACCAAAGACTCCCACTCTTTAGATCAGCCAATCACATTACTCCCGGCATCAGGGTCTGGCCATCGATTTTTTGTTTTCCCTTTTCCCTTTATGATGTACATGGCTCCGTGCTGCTTTGGCACATTTTTCCTTAATGAATGTATTCTTCTGGACCTCCCTTACCAACACTTAAGCTTTGTTGGAGTTGCTGCATTCACAGCAGTGCAGTCCCAGTCAAAGCCCTGCATACTAGCTAGCAGTTAGAGACTCACTGAGAGTGGGTATTGGAGAAGCTTTAAAGGCTGACAATCAGGAACTAGGTGCTCAAAGTGGACAAGAAAAAAAAGGGATTCAGTTTGTAGTGATAAGGTGGGATTGTTTGATGGTCACATACACAATCTGCACGTACGTACAAGTTTCAGATCTGCATAGTGCAATTGTGTTGTTTCAGGATGGGTTTATGCCAAATCTTTCCACTTCTGATCGCTGGAATCTTGGAGCCCTTTTTCCAAAGGACTCAGCTGAGGTTCTAAAGAAAACACAGCTCTGCCTGGTTCCCCATCTTTGACAGGAGAAAGAATGTACTGAGATGGAGTACAGCCTGAAGCCATAAGATGCTTGATGTCTTCTCTCTCTTTCCCAGGTGTAGCCACCTATACAGATAAACTATTCAAGTTCCGCAATGGGCGCTGGGAGGACATCTTGAGCGATGAGGTGAACCGGGGTGTAGCAAGCCGGTTTGCTGGGCGTTCTGTGGCTTGCGTAGACAGGCTGGTGAGTGCATGAGTTTGGCTCACGGGGGCTATCATCTCAGAATCGCTGGTCTCTGGCATATATGCGGAAGAAAGAAATTGGAACCAAAGAAGCATAATCTAAACTGCGTAAAGAGAAAAAATGTTTTTGGAGAGGCCTTGTTCTCCACCCAGCCTCCCTATGACCAGGCTCTGCCCCCTCCTCCACAGCTGTCAGGACTCCCATCAGGGGCTGCAGTGCCAGGCGAGTGCCGTGCTGCTGATAAACACCGCCTGTCTGGGTGATTTATGCCCCTGTCACCTGCATTTTCTTCTCTCTCTACCATGCGTGGTTTGTTTTCCAATGATTATTGCTAAATCAGGGTGCCATGGGAGAACAAAAGGGGGCAGATGGCAGCTGACAAAGAAGCCTGGGGCAAACATGGGCACGTGAAGACCTGGCGTGTTCCTTTTGGAAGCCCCCTAGCAAGGATAAGAAAACAACCATGTCTGAGTAGACTGTTTTTGCTTGTATGTTGTAAGGGTCTGGCATGGCATTTTCTTTACCAGACTTATCCTTCTCACGGCTGTGGAACTGCGACCCACTGGAGGCACCCAATATGCCAGACCATAGCTTCAATATTTTGTGGCTCATTGTGTTTTGGAAACTCAGCCATTTCATTATATGAATCAGATTATTGTGTTACAACCATCACAGTTTACATTTGGGCATAAGATAAGAACCTAGGAATTGTGTTTTGTTCCTCTGGTTTGGTGGGTTCACATGTTATCTAGCTATTCTATCCAACATGTGGGGAATGGATGGGAATGCTTCATTGGAGCGCTGGTTCTCAGTAGTTCTACTCCCTTCCTTCCTGCAGGGGTCTGGCCGCTATTCCATTTACATAGCTAACTATGCCAATGGAAGAGTTGGTCCTCATGCCCTCATTGAGATGGACACAGCTGCCAGTGACCTAGAGCATGGTATTGTGGCACTGAATGATGTGGCTGCAGAAGCTGGAGTCAATAAATTCACAGGTATGAGGGAAGCAGAAAGTTGCTATATTGCTGAAGAAGACCTGAGGATATAAACTGGGGAGACCTTTGATCAGAATGAACTCCAGGTTTGAAGGAACTCTTACAAAATGTCCTCCATGGGGTTTTCCTTTGTTGTGTTGCCCTAAGGTTCAGAATAAATTTACCTTTTAGTGCCATAGAATGTACAGTAATTGATGTTTTTTTTCCATGTTAGCATTTCCTCTGAACAGCAGCCTATATTTTTTTCCTGAAATTCTCCATTCCATAATGCATTGGGGGGGGGGGAATAAAATATTCCATTGGTCCCTTCTTAAAATCCTACACTACCCAGGCATAGCAGCACATCTGGAGCTTTAGGGCAACACAACTGTAGCCACCAACTGAGTTGTGGCTGCCAGAAACAGACCTCTGAGATGGAGGGGGTACTTGCCTCACATGATGCTGGACCAGTCTCTGACTCTAGTTCCATTCATCTTCGGAGGTCTTAGCTCAGCTTTCAGTCTCAAAGGCCCTGAATTCTTACCAAATATTTTTGTGGGTATTATGGAACTTCAAGGTAAAATAGGGATCCTCCCAATGAATTTCAGTGTTTTATCAATTCGTAGGATTGACTGTAGACAGAGATGGGAAATAGGAGAATGAATCCATGGTTGGGGTTTTGGTCTTATATTCAGGCTAGGATTTATTTCCAGTGCAGTTACTGCTTCACGGGGAGCAGGTGATGGGAGTGCTCTGGAGCTTTCACTCCTCTTGTTCCCAGGGGGTCGGGGCATAACGGTGGGTCCCATTCTCAGTGAAGCTGCCTCTGACATATTTTGTGATAATGAGAACGGAGCCAACTTCCTCTTTCAGAACCAGGGCGACGGTACCTTCATAGATGTAGCACCCAGCACTGGTGAGTATGCAGCCTGGGCAAGGAGTTTTGGGGGCGGCATGTCTTATAAAATTAAAATGATTTATGTAGTTGCTGGACACTTGAAATCCTACTAGAGTTAAGATTTTTTTTCCCTATCCCAGCCTCCCTACTTCTGGGGAAGGAGGGGGTTATAAGTGCACCCAGGCTCAACCACCAGTTATTTAACGTCTGGCTGATGATCACTGGAGTTTAACGAAATGTCAGGCTGGCATCCATCACAACCGTGCTGCTGATGACACCTATTCTCTTTAGAAACATTCCTTCCATGTCATCAAGGGAATAGGAACACATTGGCGAGAAGGAGCTTGGGCGGGGGGGGAGGTGAAAAGCAGATTGCCAGCCCCTCACATGCCTACTCAACTAAACTAGCTGCCAGAAAATCCTCTTCTGTCCTCCGCCACCATGGAGCCTAAATTCCTTGAGGTCCAAAACAGCATAAGATTCAGTTCAGTATAGTACATGGGAATGTTCATCCAGCTGACTTCCCTGTCATCCTCTGTAGGGTTGGATGATCCCTACCAACATGGTCGTGGAGTGGCTCTAGCTGACTTCAATCGTGATGGCAAAGTTGACCTAATCTATGGTAACTGGAATGGACCACACCGGCTCTATCTGCAGGTTAACGCAGGTGGGCGTATCCGCTTCCGAGTAAGTGCTATCTGAAAAAGGGAAGTCCAACACCGGCATATGCCTGGAATGTCCTGGGCTGTGAGCAGGGAAAGGGGATGTGGGGACTCTGGTAGTAAAGTAACGTAAGAAAGAACGGAGCATATAGATTAGGTCCAATCACCAAAGAGACTGATGTCTATATCCCAATTGGATGACCAGAAATTCCTTTTTTTAAGGATTATCTCCCAGCTCAAGAATGTTCCTTATTCTTGCAATGTAGATTTGGCAGCATTTTCCTCATCTTGCTTTCTATCCATCAGCAGAACACTCCTTCATGAAACTATATAGACTTTTGATATTGCCTGCTGCAATTAGCTTCCTACTTTTCAGCCCAGTAACAAAGTCTCCAACCACCTAAATCTATTCCTAATCTTTACTTCCTCTTGGTCCTGCTCAAGACCAAGCCCTGCCCCACTAATCCCCGTCCTTCCCCCAGGACATTGCCACGCCCAAACTGTCCATGCCATCACCTGTCCGCACCGTCATCGCTGCTGATTTTGACAATGACCAGGAATTGGAGGTCTTCTTCAACAACATCGCGTATCGTGGCTCGTCTGCCAACCGCCTCTTCCGGTGGGTGAGAGCCACATGGCCACCAGAGGCTAGGGCAGTGGGCTCCCTATCTTGCTTGGCCCTGGATACTGCAAGAAAGGTTTCCACCAGCAGAGTCTGGTGGAAATCATTCTGTCTTTAAAAAGCTGTGCATGCAAACTGAGAACATGAGAGGAGACAGCTGGGAGGGGTAATTCTTGATCCATTGTACAGTGGCATTTACTCTCCTGTGTCTTAATCCACAGGAGTGAGGTGGTTCCACCAGAATGGAAAGGGTCCCATTTAGTTCCAGCCACTCTATATACAGTTGACAATGTTGTGACTATCTCACTACTGATACAACAGTCTGTTCTGCCTAGACCAATCCCTGGAGATTCTGGCTTTCACTAATTAGCACTTATGCACAGTTCCCATTAATTGTAGGCAATCAATGGCTTGTTAAACAGAGTTGCTTACATTTCTCTGACTAATAAAGTGATAGCAGCAGCATATGGCAAGTCTAGGGAGTCCGTGCCAAATTTATCATTTTGCAAATGTGCAAGGTCTCTTCCAGAGAAAAGAACAGTGGCAAAAGCAGATACAGCCTAGAGATCTAGCCTGTAGATACAGGGTGGTGATCACCAGAAATAGACTTTCAAAATTAAGGTCCTGTTCAGGGAGGACAACATTCATTCTGCAGTCCTTTTCTGCTGCAGGGTTATCCGTCGAGAACATGCCGACCCAGCTATTGAAGAACTAAACCCTGGCGATGCTGTGGAACCAGAGGGGCGTGGCACAGGTGAATCATTGTCATGTCTTTTGTGGAGCATGATTATCATGCATCACTTAGCAAGAATAAAACAGATATAAAAGAGGTTGCTGTAACCTATTGGCAATGGTTGGGACAGACCTTCTGCCAGTGATGAATTGTGTACCAGTGACCCCTCTCTGTGCCAGGAAAATCTAGATATCTGGGTTGTTGGCAGTGGGCATAGTTAGGAAATGTCAAATTGTGAGTGTAATGGTTTCAAATAATAGTGTATTTATATGATAAGTTTGCATTAAATCTGTGTTTTGTAAACACTCAATGAATAGATGCAAATACTGCAGGTGTTTGAGGGAGAAAGGGAGAGATCAGCAAATCTTCATCTGGGTCCTGTGATGCATCATAACAAGAGCATAATTATTTGTATTAGGCTCAGAGACAAAACATCCATGTGGCCTGACCCCATGGTCTATGGGTTGTTCCCATGACTGGCTGCCTCTTAAAGCATATGAAGGAAGAGAAGAATGACCTTTGTGTGTGATGCCTATCAACAGCCAGGAGACTTAATTCCTGAATATCAGGAGCAGAAAGGGCTCTTATTAATAGAGGATTTGGCACTAGGAAAAATAGTATCTGTGGAGTAGAGAGCACAATAAATACCACTGCAGGGAAACTGAATGGAATCAAGCGCAGAGAAGAAGAAACTATGTTCTGATTTTCTCATGTTGGGCATTATATCATTCAATATCGCTGTTAAGTAATGTGGCCCTTTCACAAAAGTGATGAGCAAAGATACATTTCCTTACTGAAATTATATCATTTTAGGAGGAGCGGTGGTAGATTTTGATGGTGATGGGAAGCTGGATTTAATTCTATCACATGGTGAATCCATGGCACAACCACTCTCAGTCTTCAAAGTCAATGAGGTGGGTTTAGAAAGTTTCCTCTCTTAATGTGTTTAAAATCAAATCTATATGTCAACAAGCATGAAAGTCCTTCCTCGGTTCCATGACCACTTCATCCTTTGGCTGAGTCTGTCTGTCCATCTCCACAGGGTGCTGGCAACAACTGGCTGCGGGTGATTCCACGTACACGCTTTGGGGCATTTGCTCGCGGTGCTAAAGTGGTGCTGTTCACACGGCACAGTGGTGCCCATCTGCGCATCATTGATGGAGGGTCTGGGTACTTGTGTGAGATGGAGCCTGTTGCCCATTTCGGCTTGGGTGAGTGAGGAGGAGTAGAGGCAGGGCTTGGAACGCAGAGTGGTGTGTGGCCCCAGGTCTCTTTTGCCCCAGCCATCTGCCTACTAGTCCAATACAGGCAGTCCTTGATTTACAACTATTTGTTTAGTGACCATTCAAAATTGCAATGGCACTGAAAAAAATGATTCATGACTGTTTGTCACACTTACGACCTAGGATCAGGTGATCAAAATTCAGACACTTGGCAAACGGCATGTATTTATGATGGTTGCAGTGTCCCGGGATCATGTGATCCCCTTTTGTGACCATCTGTCAAGCAAAGTCACTGGGAAAGCCAGGTTCACTTAACAAGTGTGTTACTATCTTAACAACTGCAGTGATTCACTTAACAACTGTGGCAAGAAAGGTAGTAAAATGGGGCATAACAACTGTCTTGTTTAGCAACAGAAATTTTGGATTCAATTGTGGTCATAAGTTGAGGGCTACCTGTAATATATAGTACTAGTTATTACTTATTTCTTCTTCCAAATCAAATTTGAGAGAGAGAAACCTGGTGCAACCTAACACCACCTCTGAATTTGATAGGGTCATATGCAGACAGATAGTGCTATATGACCCTGAAATTGTTGCAAACATGGGTCAATTATTAACAAATTTCAACTAACATTTCCCCACTCTGTTCCACACTGCTTTTTTTTATTTTTGAATTAGAGTTCTTGAAAACTCAAAAGCTTGCATGCTATTTTCTAAACCCTAACTTAAGAAAGGCATTGCCTTAATATGGACTTCAATTTTGTTTTCTTGTGACCGGTTTAGGTTCTTTGGGTTTTTTTTATAGATCTTCCTTGTCTCTCATCCTTCCTAAATACTCACCAAACACTGCAAACTAGAAGTCTGTAGAGATTCTCAGTCATCCAGGTCATGGTTGTCCCAAAGGTGCTTTTTCAGGAGGCAACTGGGCTTTCTTGTTTTTTCTTTTGAAGACGTTTCGTTTCTCATCCAAGAAGCTTCTTCTTCTTCCCCACTCCTGCCAGAGCTGAAGAAGCTTCTTGGATGAAGAAGCAAAACATCTTCAAAAGAAAAAACAAGAAAGCCCAGTTGCCTCCTGAAAAAGCACCTTTGGGACTGCAAATTGGATTAAACATTAGGTCTGTCCTTTCACTAACTTATATCCTTATCTTTCTATATTCCTTCAAAATGTTTTAGTTCAGAGCCTCATCCCTACATTCCTTCAATTCTACTAAGGTCGAGCAAGCATACTGACGAATCTTCATTATAATACATTTCATACTTTTAAATGTTTTCCCAAGTCTGCCAATTCAGCAGCAAATTTTTTAAGAGCTCTAGCAGCTCCCTACTTTATGGGGGATCCACGGATACTAAACTACTGCTGCAATAAAGCCTATTACCCAATCATAATCCTTTTTTTTGAAAATATTTAGCAAGTTAATGTTATTATCTTATGTATTAATGATAGCTAATTCATCCTCAGGAGAATAAAGGGTGTTCACAGTAATTTGCATTCTCAGAGAGTAGACTATTTGTATTACAGTGAAGCCCTGATTTGCTCCTTCAGCTGTTTTTTTGCAGAAGGCACTGCATTTCTTCACACCTCATTACTCTTCTGCATCCTTGAGGTGGCTTGGTTTAGTGGGGCATTGCCAGGTTAGATTGCGCTGTAAGTGAAACCAAGTGGCTCAGAAATTCAAGGAGCCTATATGCCCAAATATTCCACATCCCTGCTGGTCTTGGCACAGAGTAGTTGATGGAACCACACAACCCCATCACATCGCAAGTTCTTTCATCTCTGTTGGGAACAGCTATTGAAATTTGGGAGGAGGAAAACTAAGCACGAATCTGAAGGAAGGGTAGTTTTTAACAACCATTCCTCTTTCTATGGTGCCTGCAGTTTTCTCCATTATTCAACAATTCCCTGTGCTTTTTCCTTGTAGGACAGGATGAACCCAGCAGCCTGGAAGTGACTTGGCCAGATGGCAAGCTTATCAGCAGAGCTGTAGTGAGCACTGAGATCAATTCTGTTCTGGAGATTCTCTATCCCAAAGACACACCAGGGCCACCCACCGTTTTAGTTCCTCTTGAGGTAAGCTTCACAATTAAGTCAATTTAAGTTAGGTTTCAGTGTAAAGAATGTGAAGTCATTTTCTCCATAATGAAAGCAATGAAACTAAATGGGTCCCAAGAAACAAGATACCAATATCATGCTTGTTTAGTAGAAGTATTACAATAATTTTAAAATAAGATAAAAGGGAGTGATTTTCCACCCAATTTTACTTTCCAAAAATATGTAAATAAGATATCCAGCGACCCAGGATTGTGAAATATGGACTCCTGGTGGCAAAAGAAAAAGAGCCAGGAACATAGGGGCAGAAAAGGTGGGGGTGTTGGTTTGTATGATTTTTTTATAAGGTCTTCCCTTGAGTCTAGATCTCAAGGGAAGGTGTGCCTGGATGAACAGGAGCTGCTCCCAACAAGAAGGGAAGATATTTGGATAAAAGAAAGGCAGATCTCAGAGGATGCATCCAAATTTTATCATACACTAAATATGAATCTTAAATATATGTAGCTACAATATCATTCTAGGAAGGTTGCACCTGAAAATGTGGTGCTTCCATAAGGACTGCCAGGCTGATCTAATAAATTTCTGTTAGAGCTCCTTCTTTGGTTTCCCTTGCTCTTTTCCATCACCTCCTTTTCCAAAGTTTTTGACATCTGTTCTCTTTCAATGGCCCAGTTTCTCTAGTTTCATAGAAGAGAATATATTTGGCTTAGGGTTCTTGGTGCTTTCTCAGCTTGGTTGTTTGCTTGCAGACATTTCATTACCCAACTATGTAACATCATCAGTGCAAATCTAAGACTCTCTGAATTGTGATAACTACATTAAAAGGGAACAGAGAAGATAAAGGGTCTAATACAACTAAAGTGGCTGTAATAAAAGTGACGCTGCTGCAAAATTTGCTGTTGTCAGCAAAGTGACTTCCAATGTTAAAAATCTACTAGCACGAGGTAAGGAATGGCCAAGTTGTCAGTGTAAGAAAGCTATGTGATAGTAAATGAAGCTTAATAATAAAAGACTACTGAAATCTGGAAAGAGAATTTGAATGTGCCATCTTTCTAATAAAACAATTAGTTGGAATCCATAGTATTAGATCACCTTCTTAGTTAGTTCTTAGGTAGTTTTGTTCCTCTCTTTCAAATATATTGTTCATAAAACCAGAAAAGCTTGAAATTGTTCAGGAATCTGGATGGGAGGAACAGACTTTGGCTTGTTCCTCACAAGATTGAGTGGCTGGGTCTGCCTGGGCTCCCAGGCAGGGAACGTTTTCACTGTCTTGGAGGGGGCTGGATGGGGTTGCACTTCCCCATTTTGAGACTGGTGTGCAAACTGGAAGTCTTCCCGAATTTGCAGCTACTGCTCAAAGAGCAGGTGGCAGCTGTGGCCAGGAGCTTTTGCGCAGGTTCATTTTGTGCATCAGTTGAGCCCTTTTCTTATCCAGGAGGCCTTCAGATACTCATTCAAGCTTTACTCCTCTTGTGACTGGACTATTGCAATAGACTCTACACGGGACTGTCCTTGAAAACCTTCTGGGAGCTATAGCTATATATGTGTAAAAGGTAGAAATGCAAGCACTTCTTGTTATACTCATATGCCAGTGTTGCTACACGAGCTGCAGTGGCTACCAGTTGGCTTCCAGGTGCAATTTAAAGTGCTAGTTATTACCTATAAAGCCCTTCATGCCACCAGAGTCTGGTTTATCTGCAGAACTGCCTTGTCACCAATCATTTCTGCCTGCCTGGTATGTTCAACAAAGTGGGTGCAGTCCAGGTCCCTTCAATTAAATAGACTATGTCTTCTATGTTCCTGCCCCTGATGTCTGGAGAAGGATCCTCCTAAAGATGGCACCTACCCTCTTAGGTTTAATATGTTAGTGGAGTCCCTGTCGAAACAGTTTTGTACTGTTACAGTTGTTTTGCCTGGGCTGTTATGTGTTTTGTTTTGATGGTTTCAAATTGGATGTTGCCTATAATGGGATAATGGGGTTTACTAAAAAAAGATTGCTGAAATTTGGAAACAGAATTTGAACATGCCATCTCTATACTAAAAATATTGGGCATGAATCTGTAAAGGCTTTACTTGGAGCAGCTTATATTCTGTGACAATACCTTTAATATTATTGAACAATGACATCTGCTACCCCAGGCATTTGGGAAGGACTTGATAGGTAGGCAAAAAGGCCAAACTGAGTCTACACATCTGGCTGAATGTACAACCAAGCATAACAATACAATAACACAACTTTCCCATTTGCAAATACTGGTTTGTGAGTTCTCAACTACGTTCACAATAAACAGTGAAGATGTTCAAATTTGCCCTGACTGATATTTACCCAGTGCAGATTATTTTCCTTGCTGCTTCTTCTTATCCAGAAAATCTACTGTGTGCCCTGATTTCCATATGAAGTCTTTGCTGCCAAATAGGAAGCACTGGCTTCTACATTTATTGTACAAGAGGGTCAGAAGGGGTATATACAAAAGTACCCCTCAAGATTGGGAGCTATATACAAACAGTCCTCGATTTACGACCCCAGTTGAGTCCAAAATTCCCATTGTTAAGCAAAACAGTTAAGTGAGTTTTGCCTCATTTGCAACCTTTTGCTAACAGTTGTTAAGTGAATCATTGCAGTTATTAAGTGAATTTAGTTTCCTGCATTGATTTTGCTTGTCAGAAGTTGGCGGGGAAGGTTACAAATGGTGATCATCCTGGGTCAGTGCCGCGATGATCACCATTTGTAACCTTTCCAGACAACTTCTGACAAGAAGCAAAATCAATGCAGGAAGCTAGATTAACTTAATAACTGCATGATTTACTTAAAAACTTCAGTGAGTCATTCAACAAATACATGCCAGTTGCCAAGTGCCCAAATTTTGAGCATATGACCATGGGGATGCTGCAGTGGTTGTAAGCATGAAAACCAGTTGTGAGTCACTTTTTTCAGTGCTCTTGTAAGTTTGAATCAGGGGTGGTATTCACTTACCTTCGCTACCAGTTCACAAATGGGAGTGTACATATCAGTGGTGGGTTGCCCGCAGTTCGCACCGGTTCTATAGAACCTGTAGTAAAACCGGAGGGAGGCTCCGCCCACCGACCCCAATGTCATCAAAATGGTTCTGCGCATGTGCAGAAGCTTCTGTACTTGCGCAGAAGAGCGTGCACGGCCCCGCTGCAAACCAGTAGTAAAGGTAAGTAGAACCCATCCCTGGTACATATTACCTCCGCGCATGCACAGAGCGCCAAAAGTGGGACGTGATGACTTCCGGGTGGGTGGGCAGAGCCTCCCTCAGCCACCACTACCGGTTCACCTGAACCGGATAAAACCGGCTGAATAGCACCACTTGTTTGAATGGTCACTAAACAAAATGGTTGTAAGTCAAGGACTACCTGTATTAGATAGTATATGGTCTGAGGCAGAAACTGCAACTACACAAATTCAGGAATAAATCCCTCAAAATACATATGACAAAAATGAGATTAAAGATCAATGGTTTCCTGATGATCTGTTCTTCCTTTTTTCCCTCATAGTGTGGCCAAGGATTCTCTCAGCACAAGAATGGGCGTTGTGTTGGTGAGTCACCTGCCAAGAGAAAATCAGCAAATGCTCCTTGATTCCCACAGCCGGGTTTCCCTGAAGTAGAATGACGCTCTTTGGTATCCAAACCCACCAGTGTGGCTGATTTCTGAGACTGCCGGCACTGAGTCTGTCTTTTATTATTTCCCATGCTTTCTCTCTCTCTCTCCTCTCTCTCACTTCCTTTCTTCCCAGACATGGATGAGTGTGCAGAATTTCCTTTTGTGTGTCCAAGAGGCAGGCCCATCTGCATCAACACATATGGTGGGTACCGTTGCCGCAGCAACAAGCGCTGTAACCGGGGCTTTGAACCCAATGAGGACGGCACTGCTTGTGTTGGTGAGTGATGACATGGGCAGAAGGGAATAATACCCTTTGGAGCTACTTCCCGAAGTCAGCTAGGAAATTCATAAGAAGCTATCAGGCAGTGAAGCCTGAAATCCTTTGTTAGATGGGAAGGAATGCTTGGAGCGGGAAGCAGATTAACTAACAAGCTCCTAAATTCATCCTGATTAATAACAAATTATTGCAGAGGGCAACACTTCCTGCTCTGTACCCTTGTTAAGCTGAAGAGAAGAATGATAGATACTTTTCCCAGGTGAGGTAAATTTGGTATCAAACATTCTGGAAACTACTAATCATTGCTGAGCAGCTACTCACCAATTGTGGTTTGCCAGAGGGAAATGGCAGGTGGAGACAAGGGTGCTTGTTTTCCTTCTACCTGTTACTTCCCAGCTATCACCGGCAGTTCCATGGCTAGAAGATGGTGGCTGGGATTTTTGGACTTCTCTGTGTAGCCCTGCATCCTTTCCCCTAAAGGCCGTCTCCTTGCTAAGTGCCACTAACAAGTGTTCTGTCCTTTCTGCTTCTTTTTCTCTTTTTCTCTGTGTGTAGCTCAAGTGGCCTTTTTCGGTGGATATCCTTCTTCAGGGAGCTGGCTGGGCTCGACCTTGCCATCAGCCCCTCTCCTTTCACTTTGCCTTGGACTCTGCTTTTACTCCTATGCACTTTAAGCCTTGCCAATAAAGGACAGAAGCAGCCTTTATGGATGACTTAGCCTCCCCTCTCCTCCTTCCCTCCATATCCTCTCATCCAGTTTTCTCATGGTGGTCACTGGAAACATAAACTGAGGTGGGAGCATCCATTATGTAGCCCAGCTGATGATACTGGCACTACCAATATACCCTTTGCATGTTTTCTGGGAAAACAGAGAGGGCAGAGGCCCCACTAATGCTTGTCACCTCTGTATGGTGGCCATTTTCTTAGGAGGAGCTTGCCTATAACCAAGACGGTAGCTCTTGCTGGTAGTTGCTTGCTTGGTTAAATCAATAGAGTTACTCTGTGCCTGCTGGTTTGGCCTATGACACAATTGCTTCCCGTCCTTCCTTGTGCTCCTTCTTTTCCTCCTCTCTAGCCCAATACAAACCTGGATCTTGATTGGTCTGCAATTGAAATAAACAATCTTTCAGCTGGAGAATTGCTCTCCCTTAACAGCCCCCCCACCAATAAACTCTACACTGTCAACAAGCATCTACTTGCAACTGTGCTTGGGATGTGGGTGAAATTGGGGGCAATAGCTAATATTCAGAAGAAAATAGGCCAGAAAATGAGATTAGTGATAAGCTATGTGCCTGTTTCCTTTATGGCAGGCTTAGAGCAGTTGCATAAGCAGACGTAAGTTGCTTGGTTTTATTTCATTTTAAAACATGTAGCAGCCATTCCTGCTGAATTCTGCTCTCCAGTGCCCGGCACATCTGACCAGAAGTCTTCTCCTGGTAGCATCTCTGATTGAAGTTGCTTCCATTCTGCAGCTACACATTTCCCACTTGACCTTTCAACATTCCTACTATAGATGCCTTTTTTTTTACTTCTTTACTACATTCTTCCCAATCAAAGACTCTTCCAGATGTATAAATGACAAATCCTAAGATTCTTAGCAAAGATAAACCTGGCTTAGAAATCTGGAATTGAAATCCGTGCATTTGGAAGATTCCCAAGGTAGAAACTCTGCTTTACCATGTGCTAGTGGATCTGACCCAATCCTGTGTCAGTGTAATGGTTAAGGTGTTGGACTAAGACCAGAGAGACCCTGAGGGTCCATCCACTTTCAAACAAAGTTCATTTGGTGACTTTAGTCCAGTCCAGTCTCAGTTTCTCAACCCAGCCTGCTTCAGGAGGTTGAGAGTAGGGGGTAGAATTGGAGGAGGGATGCGATGCATGCTGCTTTGAGCTCCTGGAGGAAAGGCAGGATATAAATCTAATAAACAGATACAGGCAACTTATGGACCAAATGCAGCCTTTAATCCTTCTTCTGCAGCCAATAGAGTTCCACTCGCTTTGCTAGGCCACATATGGGAATAATGGCAAGAAGTGTGTGTGTGTGCATGCATGTGTGTGAGTGTGTGTGTGTGTGTGTGTGTGTGTATAGGAATTGAAGTCTTGCCTCTGAGCAAGCTTGTTCCAGATAGTGTTTTTTTTTCCATCTACTGATGGCAGCAAATTATAACAGGTTCATGTTGGGAGAAGGGCTAAAACTTCTCTGGTGAATAAAGTTCACCAGTTGGGAAGTGCATAACTGAACTCCTGTTGTGTAAACATAAATGGAAATGAGACAGCAGGAGTGACTATGCTCTCTACACATGTGATATATCTCTGTGTATTGTGAGTCTATCTTCAAATTTTGTCCACTTGTGTAACTTAGATATGTGGGAGCCAAATCATTCTTGCTATCCATGACTTTAGAAGTTTATTATATTGTTGCAAGCACAAACTAGATGTCAGCAAGACACTTTCTTTTTTTACTAAATATTTTGATTATAAATAAAATAAGCCATGGTGGTGCAATGATTAGAATGCAGTATTGCAGGCTAACTATGCTCACCAACAGGAGTTCGATCCTGACCTGCTCAGGGTTGACTCAGCCTTCCATCCTTGCAAGGTGGGTAAAATGAGGACCCAGATTGTTGGGGGCAAAATGCTGACTCTGTAAACCACTCGGAGTACATAGAGTAAAGCACTATGGAGCGGTATATAAGTCTAAGTGCTAATGCTAGTACTAAAGGAGGAGATATTATGAGCATATCTTCTATTTGTTACACAGTAAACACTATCACTTTGTATAGGACCTGTGTTGTGAACACACAAAGCACATGTGCCAAGGGAGTTGCAATAGACCACGGATTGTGCTCTTTGTCTACAAGTGTGTATTCCATTTAGTAATTTTGCTCCTGACTTAGATCCACTGAAACCATGACTGCTGTGTAAAGGGTGAGGTGGAGAAAGGCCAGAAGGCAAACAATGCAGGTCAGAAGAAAAAGAGCAGAGAGGTAACCATTCTACAGGTGTCAACCAGGGGTGAACTGCTCCTGGTTCAGACCGGCTCAGGCGAGTAGGTAGCGATGGCGACAGGCAGTTCGTAGAACCAGTACCAAAAATCCCTGCCCCTGCCCCCCATGCCCAGCTGAGCTGCGCGATCATCAGAGGCTTTTTTTCTTTTAAATGCCTCTGACGATCCAAGCTCTGGCGATCCCAGCTGAGTTGCCTGCCAATCAGGCAACTCAGCTGGGATTGTCAGAGCCATTTAAAAGAAAAAAAAGTTTTTTTCTTTTAAATGGCTCTGACGATCCAAGCTCTGACGATCCCAGCTGAGTTGCCTAATTGGCAGAGAGTTTTTTAAAAACCCTCTGATGATTAGGCAACTCAGCTGGGATCGTCAGAGCCTTTTGAAAGCATTTTTTACATGGTTTTACATGTAAAAAATGGTTTTAGAAGTAAAAAAAAATTGACCACGCCCACCCAGTCACATTACCCCCCCCCCACCAAGTCACGCCCCCAGAACCGGTAGTAACAAATTTTAGATTTCACCACTGGTGTCAACCAATGTGAACAGATGCCTGGGAATTCCGTCCCAAATTCTGAAATGGATCAGTTAGTCCCTACTGAAAGAAAAGACTGTCATTTATTTTTGTAGGGGACAATTATGATTATTTAATTAGTAAAATCAGTAGTGATCCAGATATTATATAACTTCAAGTTGAAACACAAATCCAGATGGACTCTTGTATTTCATATTGTAATGAGACAAATATCATATTCTGCCAGTTTTTCCTCTGGCTTAGAATAAATAAGAAGCCAGAGAGAATATGAATTCTCTCTCCCCCACCACTACCCCCCACATCTGTCTTACAAGCCTCTATATTGGTGTTTCTCAACCTTAGAAACTTTAAGCCAGAGGAGAATTCTAGGTCCAAACATCTTAAAGTTGCCAAAGTTGAGAAACACTGATCCATATCCTCCAACCAGACAAAGGCCTGTGAAAGAGAGCTTCCTTTTCTACCTGCTGTGGATAAAGGACTGGTGATGGGTTCAGAGCTTCTTACTGTTCCAAGCCTCAGTTGCAACTGGGAGAAAGTTTTAATAGTGGATTGAGAATATTTCGGGGGGGGGGTTGTTTCTGAATCTAACAGGAACAAGTTTGTCTATCGTTAAATAAAAGGATATGTAAAAAGAGGAAGAGCTCAAAACTTCAAAGAAGATGCCATTCTTTTCTGAGCAAATGTGCCATTCTGGAAAAACAAAACCCATTATTTAAATTTTATATACATGTATTTGGTGTTCTCTTTTTACCAGCTTTCAATACATCTGGAAAGAGTCATTTTGATTAATGTTACTGTTAACTCTCTTACCTATAGTGGGGGTTTTCATTTATATTTTCATGTCTTGAATTCACATAAATCTTCATTTTTCCTGTGTACTAAATAGGCTAGTGGGCAGTACAGATTAATTTGCTTTTTTTATTTTTTTTTTGAATTTTCTCTTCATAGCAATGTAAAATCGGATCAAAATATTTGAATATCCTTGGTGCAACTCTAGAAGATTTTCTGTTAACCCATCTCTGCTTGCAGCCTTGAATAGGTGACACATTGTTTGCACACCTCACATCACTTTGTTGGAAAATAGTCTCACCCTGCAGTGCAAGCTACATCCTAAGAACTAGAGGTGCTTTCTTTCTGTATACGTTTCTGATGCACAAAATGTAAAGGATGGTTATTAAAGGATCATGAAACAGTGTTGAAGAAGCATATATTGCTACTACCAACTACACCAGCCTTTCCAGAGTTGCTGAGAATTCTGGAAGTTGGGTCACACAGTTGGAGTGCACCGGGTTGTAAAAGACTGGATGGACCATTTCACTCTAATTTCTTATTCCTAAACATTCACATGACTGTTATGACTGAATATGTACAATGAAGTCTGCATGGCTAGAAAACTCACCTGAGGAACCACTGCCATTCTGGGTAGACAATCTTGACAAAATGAGATCCGTTGCATACTGAAGAGTCAGTAGCGACTAAATGACAGAATAGAAATGCTGAACTGAAGGAACCTTTGCTCAACTTTAATATTAGGTAGCTTTCTAAGTTTCTGGATCTGTGGGATGAATTTGTATGAACAATAATAAAACAGCCATTTGCAGTTTTAAGATATCTGGTTCCCTGGAATGCTAGCACTTTCTTAGGTTCCAAGGCGAAAGTACAGGGAACTGGGATACAAATTGCTTTTACAGCTGTTCTGTCACTTATAGTTGAATGACTTCATTCCTGCTATGTGATTAAAAAGATCTGTTATTGCATAAATGATGAATCTGTCTTATCACACAGCTGTCTCTTAATAACAGAAAAGACCTGAAACAGAGAGAGACCATTTAAGAACCAAGCTACACATGATTAAAAGGAACATTTTTAATGTTCTTCAGAGAAGTGCAAATTGTAGTAGCTTGGAAAATCTCAAATATATTTTGAGCATGTAGAAATGGTAGCCTGGATAGAACCTTTCATCAATGCTTTAAAGGTAGGATGTTGAGCTGGAAAGTTAGCTGAGAAGAGGCATGGGCAACCAGTTTGTTCAAGATATTTTTGGCAGCTGAGTCAAGGGCCACAGAATCTTGACAGTATCATAATAATATGACTGAAGGCTACTAAGATAGACTTTTCAGCCCTTCTCATTCTGCTCTGTTGAGATAGGAAGTTAAATAAAATGGGTGCTTTAAACCTATCAGAGGCTAGTATTTACATTTTATTTGGCAAGTAAATTTAGAAAACATATTGCCATTATAAGGAAGTTTGTTGTTGATTTTAGGGAATGTTAGAGATTACAAGGGCCTGGCAGTCACATACCACCCCAAAATTCCAGGTTGTCCATCTCTGATTTAGAACCAGATGGCCGTCTAGCAGCCAGTCTATCTCCTTACTAAATGGAAAGAGGACTCATTCTAAATTCATAATTATCTCCCCTGGCATCTTAGTGATAACCCACCACTCTCTCATTTTGGAGAGAAAGGGTCCCTGCTAGAGTAGAAACAATGCAACCCACTCCCCCATTTTTTTAAAGGGGTACTGGCTAAGTAGCATGTAAAGGGTTAAGTTTCTGTTTCAAACCTGGCTAATGAAAATCGGAGCACAAAATGCTACTTTTCAGATAAACTCTCAGGGACAAGTTAGCAAAGCCATTCAAAGCCACAATGAAATAATCAAAGACGCTGGGCTCTGTGCAAAAGCTTCAGTAGAGAATATCAAGGTTTCTTCTGAGGTTGAAACAATTGGCCTTTAGATGATCCATTGGATGTCTATGATTCTGTGCTTCTGCCCAAAATTTAGTACATGATAGGAGGACTGCTTTTGTGTTTCATGAACGGAAAATAGCTGTAAGTAGTGATATTTTATGGCAAGGTATTGGAAATTCACCAAACCACGCTAGCTAAAACGAAAGCAAATACACATGTCAAACACATTCATAGTAGTACACATAGTCCTCGACTTACAACAGTTCATTGAATGACTGTCTGAAGTTACAACAGCACTGAAAAAGTGACTTATGACCATTTTTCACATTTACATCCATTATAGCATCCCCGCACTCATGTGATCAAAATTCAGATGCTTGGCAACTGACCTGGGGGTCATGTGATCCCCTTTTGTGACCTTCTGATATGCAAAAAAAATGGGGAAGCCAGGTTCGCTTAATATAAAAAGTCCAGTCATTCACTTAACAACTGTGGCAAGAAAGGTCATAAAATGGGCAAAACTCACTTTAAAAATATCTCACTTAGCAACAGAAATTTTGGGCTTAGTTGTGGTCATAAGTTGAGGACTACCTGTACTAAAGGGAAAGAATTATGTACAAATAATTACAAATTGTCAGGAATGCTGGGTGAAAGAGGGAAGTGTCAAGTAAATCATAAACAACAAATGAGTTGTTGGGGACGGCTTCCATTTCCTCCTAGCCTGGTTTAGCAGTGGCTCTGAGACGCTGCTTCAGCTAATAGTGGCTGAATTCCTTGCCTGCCACATCATGTTGCTCAGCTGTGTAAGATACCTGGCATGTGATTTCATCCACCTTCCATGAAAGAAAAATAAAGAGACAGGTTACATGGCCCACTAAGCCCAGAAGCTTAGAAATAATTACGGACTATTTCCCCCTCCCAGTGCATAATATCATTAGTGAATTGTAACAACAATTATGAGGCTAGTGCCCTCTAGAGGACAGAAACAAAATCAGAATAACAAATGTTTGAAGCTTCAGGCTGAAGAATGAGAAAAAAGCTTTCAGACGGAGTGGCAGACATGTCTTCCGAGTGTTAATTCATACCAGCCTGCCTAACAGAGGTGATAAAATGTAGGAGACAACAAATTTCCCATCCTTTCGCGACTAGTCTAGATTTTTGAAAAGGGACCGGAGAAAAATAGAGTTCATTACAGTGTGTTCCATTAGCCATCTTGAACTGCTATGTAGTTATGTAGCACTATAAGCCATGCAAAGGCTGCCCTGAGGGAATGACTGGGATTCTGTACTCCTTGCTCAAAGAATTGGGATGTTTGCTCAGCCTGCTTGCTGCTAAACATTTTCCACATAACTTATTTGCATATAATTACAGTCCTGGCCAAGTTTCCACTAGCATACTTCAGAAAGAGATTGTGGGTCTTTTCAACACACAAAGTTTGTAAATACTGTAAAAGACCTCTTGGTCCCTCTCCCTGCCCAGGTATTAATGATTTGGGATGAATAACTGCGGGTACCTCTGTGTCAAGACCTAGGATGGGTACTCCTTTACTACTACTCTACCAGGTTGATGGCACGTAAACAGCATTGGCTTAGCAAAGAAATAACATTCAGTGCTTTCAAACAAAAATTAGAGCTGTGGACCAGAATCTCCTTCTTTAAATCATCCTGAGATCTCTCTTAACACAAATGTATATAAAGGAGTGGTTTGAAAACAGTCCTTTACAGACTGGATTAGAATACTATTTTGTCCGAAAGGTGTGGAGCAGTGGTGGGTTGCCCCTGGTTCAAACCGGTTCTATAGAACCAGTAGTAAAACCGGCAGGAGACTCTGCCCACTGACCCCGACGTCATCAGGAAGCTTCTACACATGTGCAGAAGTGCGCACGAGCGTGCGGCCCTATTGCAAACCGGTAGTAAAGGTAAGTAGAACCCACCCCTGGTGTAGAGGCTCATTAAGAAGCTCATGATCTCTTCCACCATTAGACTGAGGACGTTGCCTCAAGCAATGGAGCAGATAATGCTTAATGAAGAACCTGCGCTATACCTCTCTGTTGAGTTTGTGCAATGGAAGAGACAACCTCGTCACCGTTGTGAAAGAAATTCAGTTAGCATATGAATCGGAGTACAATCTTGTATTCCTCTCCAGATAGCAAAACTCTTGAAGCAGCCCTAATTAGATGTAACTTTTAATTATGTTTAATTTGTGTATGGTTATGACCAAGGAGTTTATTTTCTTTGCCAAGGCACGTAAATCTTACTGCTCACAGTAGGTGACATTCCCATTGTTGTTGTCCAAATGCGGGTGAGAGAGATCAGCCCATGTGTTCTTGAACTGAACTGATATCTTTCCTTGCCGCTGCCTGCAAGGTTTCTCCTTGGAAACAGATTCCAGTGTCTGCAGAACTGATCAATGCAATAAGCTTCCTTAGTGAATACTGCCTTTTACTCTGCCTGAACTGCATAGCATGCATTAGCTCATGTAACCCCTTCATACGGCAGGTAAACTGTCCCCATAGTTAAATGGTGCAGGCAATCATTTCTCTCTCCCAATTTAAGATAGTCTTTCCTCTTCCATCAGAGGTACAGTTTAAATGAGTGAGATATTCTCTTTTTACTTGAACCCAAAATAAATACTTGCTTACTCACTCCATGACCTTCATTGGGAATGTGGTAGTTTGCACTCCTTGGGTGTTGCCTGTTTCTTCTCTTTTTTCTTGGTGATGCAACAAAGGAGAAGAAAGTTCTGTTACCCCAAAGAAGTATTTTTCTAGGCATGAACACCAAGCAAGATGAGATCAATTTACCACTTTTGAGCTGATAATTTCTCAGTCGACAAATGCCACACGACATAGGGAAGTATTGCAATATAAAATGTTATGCAGGAAATCTAAGATCAATTATATTGACAGGAATATTTACAGTAGGTAGTAAATCCAGATCTATAGAAGAGCTGGGCAAAATCCTATCCTCATCCCCATTGCGAATCTTGTGATGTTTAATATACCACAACATCACTTTCAGGAACATGTTTTTCAAGCAGAAAGAGTGATCCACATTTTACTTATGTTTTTATTTTGATTGCTACTGTGATTTTATTCTGAATTACACAAAAGCTAATGGCTTTGCTCCAAACCAACTTAAAATTAATGTTTATTTTATAATCAAATAGGAAATTATTTTAGCAGCACACATAACCTATTGAAATTTATAGGGTAGGGAATGTCTTCTTATATTTGAGTTAAGCCCCACTTTCTAATACAATCTACTTGCACATTTAAGTTCATTTGGTTATATGGTAAGGCAAAGTAAAAGTCAATGAACTAAGAAATGGATTATTTAAGAATAAGCTAAAGGAAGAAAAATATTCCTTTACAAGGAGATCTATTTATAGGAGTATTTTATAGGTGAGACAAGGGAAGAAGAATCTACTTCTTAATTCTAAATTCTACCTGCAGAGGAATATTATTAAAACATTATTGTAGCAATCTTTGATGTAAACCTCACAAAGATTATCTCAGTAATCCTTTTTGTGTAATCATACATGGGAACCTGCAGAGTATATTTTCCTGTTCCCTAAAATGAGTCTGTTCAGAACTCTATCAGCATAATAAACAGGAGCCTAGCAGGATAGGCTGAATGGATAGTAGTTTATCTAAGAGCAATGGCTGAGGTTATTATCAAGGAGAGATTGGAATAGGGAGCTTCCTAGATCACCCTCACACTAAAAAGATTTAATTACCTCTAAAATTTAATTATCCATCTTTAAATTTCTCATCCTAGCCTCTGGTACTTATCATTACAGTACCAATTCCCCCACCTACTGCTTGTTTTTTTATTGGAGTGAGAAGAAAACCTCGAAGGAGTTTCTATTGGGCAAAAGAACGTTAGTTTTTGGAAGGAAAAAGCAACCTGGCACTCTGTTGTTGCAAGGTTGTATTTTAGGAGAAATTCAAAGTGATGTCAGCATAAAGTTTCAGAATGCTTGTTTATGGCCTGTACCAGTAGTGGTCCATGCTTCAGCAGAGATAGGTATTCTGCTGTGAGACTGACTCCATCTTTGCATTACCCAATAGCC